AACTTCATCATCAGCCTCTTCGCGATGATGCTCTCCACGGGCATTCCCGAGGTGTCCTCCGTCGACGACCTGCAGTACCTTCGGGAGACGCTGGTGCTCGATCTGAGCGAGGAGCAGGCGAGGACGCACTTTAGGGCCAAGTTCACCGAGGCGCTGAAGAACAGCTGGAAGACGAGCTGGAACTGGTGTGCACACAGTTTGGCAAAGGACAATCGAATGACGGAGTGAGCGAGTGAGTGAGGTGGTGGAGGGGGAGTGCTCACTTACTTAGTCATTAAATCAATACATTCGAGTAAAAACGGTTATTATTACTAGGCAATACGGGGGGTAAAAGGAGTACACTTGAGTTGTTTCGGACCACTGAAGGAGAAGGAGAAGGAGAAGGAGGTGCCGGTCCGGTGCTAGGCAAAGGAGGAGAAGGAGCAATGTGGTAAGGAGGTGATGCTCGTACGCTGGAAGAACAAAGTGTGGACAAGTGGTGAAGAAGGATGATGAGAGCGAACGTTAGAGAGAAGAGGCTAAAAGATGAGGAACTCGGCAATGGCTAGTGCTTGGTGGGTAAGGATGTCGGGTTGTAAAGAATCCCTGGGTGAGAGAGNGAGGAACTCGGCAATGGCTAGTGCTTGGTGGGTAAGGATGTCGGGTTGTAAAGAATCCCTGGGTGAGAGAGGCTTCGGAGTTGGCGGTTTTGGAAATGTGGTCTTGATATTGGTGTCATCCGGCACACTACTGCTCGGATGATCTGTCGTCTAATGTGTTGTCGACTCTCCTCGTCTGCTCAGGCAGTCCGCAGAATGAGGTGCACCCCGGAGTCGGTGTCCACAATGTCGGACATTTCGCCCACCTTCAGCCGAAAGGCGGCATCCTCGAAAGGCTTTTGCATAGCACCGCGGGCAAAGAAGCCCAGGTCGCCGCCCCGCTTAGCCGAACTGCAGTCGGACAGCTCTCGCGCCAGCTCCTCCAGTGTACTGTGGCCCTGTTTGATTTTGTCCTGGTAGTCGCGCACCAGAGCGAGGGCCTCCTCCTTTGTTCGTGTGATGGTGTCCTCGCGCCAGGAGCTGGGCCGGCGACTGCCCGAGTGCTTTACCAGCAGGTGCGAACAGCGAATCTTCTCGTTGTCCTTCGTGGAGGCCTCTTCCGTGGGCACATCCCACTGGGACTCTTTCGTGTAAATGTTGAGGTAGTACGGCTGACCGGTTGAGCGGCTGACGCGCTTCTCCCAGCCTTTCGGCAGTTCTTGTTCATCGTTGTTGTCCATCGGTTAGTGCTGGCTTAAATATAATTTACGGGAAAATGATTTCAAATTAATTGGCATGAAACAATAACAAAACAAGCCAAATTTACGTGGAAAAAAGGCTGGTGTTCGGTCAGTTGACAAGATCTGTGCTGCAACGCTGACAGCACCAAAAACAGCACACAGTGCGGTGAGCGAGTGTGTGCAGAAGAAGGGAACGGACGCTGTCTGAGGATCCAGAGGGTTCTGGTGCAGGCCAATGATGAGTGCTCGGGTATATAGAACGGGAGAGTAGTGATGATAAGCGCGAGACCAGAAAAACGGCTAAAAAATAAGGCGACTGATGTGTTTGTGCGGCACTTTTGTTGGGCCTGTATCCACTCTGCCGTTAAAATAGAAGTTTGGCTGCGAGTAGGATCATTTTTT